CTCTCATGTTAGGGTCATAAGTAACTGTGTAAGGAACTAGAGAGAGGCCCACATTAGCAGCTGCCACTGGAAGGAGTCGCTGATCAAAATGAACCTGAAGAATGACTTTCCCGCCAGAGCCAGGAACTGATCCATAAGGCATTTGGGATATGTTTTCAATCCCGATCTCAAGATTAGCAATTTCACCTCGTCCAAGGTTTTCTGGGCAATTCATAAATGCTAGTTTAATAGGGTACTGTATGATGAGAGTCTTTTTGAGGAAGGAGCGCTCAAAGGGACGTCCCAATAATTCAACACGAGATACCAACTCTGCTTTTGAAACAAATGGTCCAGGTTTGTTAGGAGGAGGCTGGTCGAATATTCGCCCATAATAACTAACAGGAACAGTGTATGTGGCCCCACGAGGGATTTCAGGCAATGTATGTTTTATTGGCTCAAATTTGATAGTTTGAGTTGAAGGAATAAGAGCAGTGGCTCCGGATGGCAGGTCCATAGAAGCATCGTTAGTCATGGTGAGGTCTGTTATGATGACACGTTCGTTTGGTTCAAAGATCCCGTCATCAATGGCAGAAGCAGTGTGAAACCCAGTTACATGGCAGTCATAACGTGTGGAAGACTCATGAAGTATCCCTCCATCAGGTGAGCTAATAACCCACAGAATACCGCCAGTTGGTGCTGGTTGACCGTTGATCCCGTCCTGTCCAGAGGCACCCTTACATCCATCAGATCCACTGGATCCAGGAAACCCATTTGAGCCAGGAAAACCATCTGAATAATAACTGACCCCATTAGCGTCCCTGTACCTACCTCCCCTGCCTCCTTGTCCTCCAGGACCTCCATCACCACCAGATCCTCCACTGCCTCCTTCACCTCCTTGTGCTCCGCTCCCCTTGTTTCCCCCTGTTCCACACATACAGTCCACCTCTACTAACATAAACAGTTGCCTGTCCTGAGCTTGTAATACACAGGCACCTCCATATCCAGCATGTCCTCCATCTCCTCCTCTTCCTCCTTTACCTCCGGTTCCCCCCTGTCCCCCATTGCCTCCATTACCCCCGGGTCCCCCATTCCCCCCAGGACCATGAGCGCTAGACATTCCCGGGCTGCCACTAGATCCATCACCTCCTCTGCCTCCTCTTCCACCGGCTCCACCCGTTCCTCCATTACCCCCTCTACCCCCGTCCCCTCCTCTACAATTTACGAATAATACTTCCTCATACTTGTCTCCGCCCAAATGTGCCGTGAATTTACATGAACCAGATACATGTAACGACTCGTTGTTGCCATATAGACTGAGTATGACATCACTTGCTTCAGTTGCATCTTGTCCTCTTTGTCCAAAATCCCCAGGCCCCCCGACCCCCCCAGGACCCCCTTCAGTACCAGGTCCTTCTCTGCACACTCCAGAGTACCCGCTGGTACCAGTAGTACCCACGTTTCCATGTTTTCCATGATGACCATGAATACCGGCAGCATTAAGCACAAAACCATGTTTTTTAGAATGGGCCCTTTGGGAGGTGTGGTTTATGATGTCATAACTACAACAAAGAGATTGAGGGAGTGTCCCTTCTCTTTTCCGATCACCATAAGTTACCTGGTGTGGCTCTAAAGCTGGTCTGGGTGCTATAGGTGGGCGTGGGTCTTCAAAAAAGGTCACTTTTTGTACGTGATCAATAAAGAAGTAGTACTTGCCAATCGGATCCCATAGCGCCTGCTGTCCATCAATCAGACCAACCTCAGGTCCATACCCGATACTAATTGGACAGAGAACAGGTGGACCGTGGGGTGGGCGGAAGGTATCATGTGAGGGTCGTCTGGTTGATGAAGAAGCAGCTGCTACTGAAGGATCATAAATAGGCATTGCTTGACCTGGATACACTACAGGTGTCTCTGGCTGGAGGTCATTTGGTAGATAAAACCCTAACGCCAGCTGCTCCATAGTTTGAGCATAATTAGGAGGGGCATCAACAGGTCTGGGTACAGCCTCACCCTCGTTAAATGCCATCTCTCTTTGTACCAGTTCCTCTTCAGACGGATGAATAACATCCCAAAGTCCGTGTGTTGCTTCTACCGGGATCTCATTAGCACCTGCTGCCTTTGAGAAGAGACCCTTTCCAGTGTGACCAAATGAAGCCATGAAACTACGCATTCGTACAATGTCTGGGGCTCTAAATATTCCAAAAGGTTTTCCAGTGGCTTGGTTAATAACACGAAAGGATGTGTAGTTTGAATCCTTGGGGTCTGTGGTGACTGGTTCTACAAGAGGATTAAGAGCTGAGAGAACTTCAAAAAAGAGTTTCTTTGTCCCATTCTTTTCGGTAAAAACTTGATGCTGGTATGGACCTGTAGAAATATTGGTTATACACGGACTAGTAGGGATTCATAAGCCCGAGAGATCAAAATAGTATGAATCCCTC